CCTTGCAAACCCGGGCGACGGTCGCACACAAAGGAAGCCTCCAGCGGGCGCAGGGAACCGACGGGGATCTTCTGCCGGTGCTGGGAGAAGCGGACGCCGCCGAGTACTGGGAGGAAAGGAAGGAGCCAGGAGGACTCGCGCGGGCGGCCCGACTTCTTCAGCTCCAGTTATGGAGGCGCTTCTCTTCCTCCGACAGCCTCCGTGGAGCCCAGTCATGTCGCCTCGAGAGCGGCTCCCTCCAGGTCCTAAAGGCGACGCTGAACAGGAAGTTACGGCGTGGGTGCTTTTCCAAGCCCTGCGCGGAGCCACGGTGGCTTGGCGTCCGCCCCGCGATTCCCTCTCCTCCGGAGGCCGTCACATCCCGAGGCAACGGATTGCCATATGTCCGAAACTTAGCCTGGTCCTTCTGTTGAGCTCATCTCTCGTCCCTACAGACGTCAGTTGTGTGGTGTAGTGGTTAAGGCAGTGTTTCTTAACCTTGGCAACTCGAAGACGTGTAGACTTCAACCCCATGCTGGCTGGGGAATTCTGGGAGTTGAAGTCCACACATCTTAGAGTTGCCAAGGTTGAGAAACCCTGGGTTAAGGTGTTAGACCTGGTCTGGGGAGACCAAGGTTCAAATCCACCCCCATCTACAGACCTTCAGTCTTTGGGGCCAGTCAGAAGCCACCTCAAAGGGCGATTATTGTGAGGATAAAATGGAGGGAGATTCCCATGTGAGTCACCTTGGGTTTCTGGAGAATAGATGGGATGTGCATCTAATAAATGCATAAAATGAGTGGCTGTAATGATCCCCTGAGTGCTTCATTATGCTTCTTGGACACAAGCAGGCCCTACGTTCTAGCTCTGAAAGGACGCAGTGATCAAGCACGGTGTAGAAAGAATGGGATGAGAAATTGGCAACCTGTGAGATGTGGTGTTGGAAGACAGAAACACATCGTGGCTTGGTGTAATGTGCAGTTCCAAACAGTACCGGAGAAAAACAAATATTGGCATGGACGGCGGTCTCTCTGTGTGTTGGCAAACATAGGTGCGGGTTTGCTTTTTGTGTGTGTTGGTAATGATAAAATGCCACTTTTCTCATAAAGCTGAAGGACCTCAGCTTGGCTGCACATTGTGGGGGGCAGGCTTGGGCAAGGTGTCCTTAGAGGGCTCCCCCTTCTCCTTATTCTGACTGCCTGTTTCAATTCACGGGATGTGCCGTGCTGCTAAAGATAACTTCCCTGCCTAAGGAAAGGGGGCCATATCTCCCTTTCATGGTGTGAACACCTGCTAATTTATCTGCTAATTTATCATCTCTATTCCACATTGTCAATGTTTTTTCAACAATCCCAGAATGGAGCAGAGCCTTTCCCCATCTCCAAATATCCTGGGGCTACAGTTCCTAGAATTCCCCTAAGAGGCCTCCCACTGCTAGTCAGACTGCTAACTGGATTTCGTGTTGATGCTATCAACATTGGATACTGTACGGTAGCAGATCTCTGCACTGGCAGCAGCTATCACAACCTCAGCATGCAACATAATACCTGCCATCCTCCAGAGAGTGTTGCCATCTCCCCTTATCACTCTGCTTAATGTGAGGGCCAGCTCTGAAGATAACACATGCAAAGTGTACTGGTTTTTCTTGGGCTGTTATTTCCCCTGTCATCTACTGAAACTACTAAGTTGTCCTAGTAATCACCTGTACAACCTTCTTGGCCAATTCATGAAGACGGAGAATAACCTGATTCTATTTAAGCTGAGTATCTGATGCCTAAGGAAATAATTCACACAACATATCATTAACCTATGGAACTTGTTACACATGCTGCTCCCAGGTTCGGCTTATGGTTGCTCACTCACACACTCACAGCCTGTCGAGGCACGCAGATCTTGTCAGCCCCCCTTGCTTTCTACCTGGGTTTTCCAGATAGGTGCAGCTGGAGCAGACAGACACACAGCCCTGGGCACCAGCTGGGAAAGAATTAGGGATACACACAAATCACTTCCA